GTCAAATCATATAAAACATTTTATGTACATAAAAATCTGAATGTCTGAATGATACAAGTCCAAACTATAAATCCTGATTATCACTTTGAAGTAGGCATTGGTTTCTGCGGAATGTTCTGTTTGTTTGGTACATTCTCGTGTTATCTCAAATATATTTAAATTTTTTATTTTATTAAATTGTGGTAGAATACAAATAACATAAAATTTACTATCTTAACCATTTTAAGTGTACACTTCAGTAGAGTTAAATACGTTCACATCGTTGTGCAACCAACTTCCAGAACTTTTTCATCTTGCAAATTAAAATTCTGTACCCATAATGAACACCCCATTTCTCCTTCCCTGCAGCCCCTAGCACCCACCATTATCCTTTTGGCCTCCATGAATTTGACTCCCCTATATACTTCATATGAGTGGATCAAATGTTTTTATAGCAAGTATGGCTTTCATTCTTTCTTCAGTGTCTAAAATTTCTGCAGAAGCAAAATACACACCCATGGTTAAAAGTAAACATGTTCCAAGGATGAATGATGACAAATATATCTTGCCTCTCTGACCTCCAGTGAAACTCTCCAGAGGCAGCCACTGTTAACAGAATCTTATATGTCTTTCCAGAAACATCCATTGCATATACATATGCAACTGCATGTTGTGGATACATGTATAGATAATACATATATAGAAATGATAGCGTATTCTCTACATGTTATGCCCCGTGCTTCTCACATATTAATACCATTATTGCAGGAGGAGCTGTAGACTTTTGCACTATAAGAATACAACACAATGCATTTCCCCAGTCCCATCAATGAACATTAGGTGTGTTCCAATCTTCTATTTTTAGAAATAATGCTCAGCTCTAACTAACCTCACACACAGACCTTTGAGTGCACATGCACATCTGTCAGTAGGACAAATTCCTAGAAGTAGAATTGCAGGGGCAAGAGATTTCTTGAGTGTTCATGTGGGCAGATATTGCCACAATGCCCTCCAAAGAATTTGTTTCAGTTTATGCTCCTGTCAACCATGTATGTGAATGCTGGTGGGAAGATCTTTGTAATCATTCTTAAAGTCTAGGGATGGAGGGGCTGCCATGAGAGGTGATAAGCTCCCTGTCATGAAAGGTATGTAAGCAGGGGCTTAACAACTACTTAGTGGGGATGTTGTCTTGATCATGGCTCCAGAATCACAGGAGAGAAGTGAGCGAGGTCACTTGAAGAACTAAAGATTCTGTAATTAGTGACTGCATCCATAGTCTAGGAAGTGTAGTTTACAACCCATCAAATGTTTACTGAGTTATCATCCTCAACATCTTTGTGCATAAAAGACCAGAGATAAGGTTCCATGCCTCTCACTGATTCCCCAGTGTTGAGAAAAATGGTAGGACTCATGTCTGACATGTGCCCAGATATCCCCAGGAAATAAATTTGCCCTCATAACATGGAGGGTTAGATCTTCTTAACTCCAACTTGCTTGTGTGGAAGCAGAGGCTCCGTGAGGGAACAGAACTGTCCCAAGGCCACACAGCTAGGAAGGGGCATCTAGGATTATCATTTGCAATAGTAACAACAATAACTATTATTGAGCTTTTACTAGGCATTGTATTGAGTAATCTCAGTTAAAACTACCATCATGAAGAAGGTATAATTATTGTCCCATTTCACAGGAGATGAAACTGAGTAATATATGAATAGTATAGGAACACATTTTCCTTGAAAAATATTAATTTTTTATAGTAAAACTAACATCTCATTTATCTACACTCACATGTGTCTTCTCTGTCACCCCCTGGCATTGTGTTCTTCTAGGCTAGGTTTCCCAGTGGTTATTGTTCAAAGTTTCTGACATGCAATTTCATTGGATTCTCATGGCCCTGAGATGGGTCTTTTTTCAACAATTTTTTTCTCCCAGTTTCTTTACTAGGGAATGGAAGTTCAGAGAGACAATGGAAGTTCAGACCATGATCACATGGTCAGGAAAAAGTAGAGCCTGGATTTGAACCCTGCTTTGTTTGAGCTCTGCTCACGATCTCATGGTTCCAAGGGAGTGGAGGACATAATTCTTACTGGGTGAGTGCAAATGGGACTACTACTCCATGGATAATTCCATCCTCCATGACTGAGAGAGGCAAGAGGAGGGGGCGTTCTGTGTGGACTTGGGGTATATAGGACAAACATGTGGGAGGAAATTAATGTGTTACTTTATAAACTATTATCTGCTATGTGTAGAGGCTGCATAGGATAGAGCTTATCCTGAAGCTGGACACTATGGGTTCAGATCAATGCTTTTCCATTTACTTGGGCAAACTTACTTAACATCTCTGGCCTCAGTTTCCCCATATGAGAAACAAGGAAGATACAATAACAAAACTTCACACAGTTGTAGTGAGTGCCCAGGTAAGGTGAGCAATTCTTATGCCATCCTCCTCTTACAGAGGAGAATATGGAAATTTGGAGAAGTTAACTCAACGTCTCTCTAAGTAAGCTCATTTGATCCATGACTTTGGAAATTCTCTCTGTCCTTACAACTCCCAAAAGTTTATCCCCGTGATGAAGCTCCCATCTAAACCCCAGGACTGCAAACCCAGTGGTCTCCATGACAACCCAACTATGATCTCTCACAGGGCTTCACACTCATGTCATGCACTGGGGTGTGGACCAGGTAGTTGGAAATGCTTGAGTGTGAATATCTGGTCCACTGCTTACCAGCTGTGTGACTTTGGAGAAGTTATTCAATGTAAGAGTGCTGGTTTCCTCTTGACTTTGAGCAAGACACATTCTCTGGACTTAGTTTTCTCCCTGCCCCCAATTTTGTTTTATTTAATTTTTTTCAGGTTTATTAAGATACAATTGATAAATAAGTTTGCATATATTTAAAGTGTACAAGGTGATAATTTGATATAGGTATATATTGTGAAATGATTTCCACAATTACCATCATCACCCACAGTTAAATTTCTGAGTGTGCAGTGTAAGGACACTTAAAGATTACTGTCTTAGCAAATTCCAAATAGACAATACAGTGTTATTAACTATAGTCACCATGCTGCACTTTAGATCCTCAGAAATTATTCATATCTAAGAGGAAATTTGTACCCTTGGCTGATACCTCTTTTATGCATGCTCCCACACCCTGACACCCACCATTCCACTCTGTTCCTATGAATTCACTTTTTTGAAAAAAAGATTCCATATCTAAGTGGGGTCATACAGTATTTGTATTCCTCTAACTTATGCACTCCAGCTTCATACATGTTGCTACAAATAGCAGATTTTCCAGCTTTTTATGGCTGAATAATATTGTATTGTATGATATATATATTCTATATATCACATTGTATATGTATATGTTATTTTATATATAATGTAGATTTTATACATGTAATTATATATATTTTTCTTTGTCCACTTATAAATCAGTAGATACTTAGGTTGCTTCCATGTCTTTGCCAGTGTGAATAATGCTGCAGTACTGGGCATTTTATGAGGGTATAGATGACTTTGAGATAGTGATCTCACTTACTTTGGGATACTTATATTCTCTGGGCTTAATTTTCCTCACCCAGAGTTCTGAGACATAGGTTTTTGACTAAGAAATCTACCTATAGACGAGATGAGGCTCAAGTCATCCTGCTGGAATTGCAAGGTTAATAAATGGCACATGTGGAGCTTCAACACGTACTCCCTAACTCCAGCTCCTTACCGTGCCATTTAGCCAGATGCCAGGTGGTCCAAGGTTGGCATGATTTTAGGGCCAGGTGGAGAAGTGTGGGTATAGCCAGAATGAGGTGGGAATGCCTGTGCAATGGGTGAGCACCTGGGGAAATTATAAGAATGTGTTTAAGTGGAGGGTGTGGTGAGTACTGAGAAGAGATTCTCTCCTTAGCTAATCAACAAATATTTTTGAGCTACTTCTGTTTGTAGCTCACTTATCTAGATTAGGATGTAGACACTAATCTAGGTCCTAGGGAGCTTCAACATGTGGAGATAGATGTCCTGCCATTCAATAAATATTTACTGAGCACCTACTATGAGCCAGGCTTTGTATTAGGTGCTGGGGAGAAAATCATGGGTAGACAGAGGTTCATGTGCACAATCAATTTTGATGGAATATCTAATGCAAGCTAGACATGACACCAAATGTTGAGATGCCAGTATAGAAAAGCTTTGCCCTGCTTCTGAGGAAGTTATCCTCTGTTCCCTCAAGGCAGCATGATGTCAGGGAACAGGTCTGATTCTCTTATTCACCCCCAAATCCCAGCCTGTCACGGCACCTAGTACAGTGAATTCTAATAAAAAAAAAAGGGGCCAAAAAAAAGGGGGCCATGCCTCAAGGGGCTTTGAATGCCATGATAACATATTTAAGCTTCATCTTGTATATAACAAGAGTGTAGAAACAACTTCATGATGCGGATTCACTTAACAAACACGGATGCCCCTGGACTTACTACGTGACGGCCCCAGTGCTCATAACTTGGGCGTATTGTCATTTATTCTTCACACACACACACACACACACACACACACACAAACCTCTTGTGAGAGAGGAGTTAGAGTACTGTATAATGGAGAGTAAGTTGAGCTGGGCATTAAATGGAAAGGTGTCTACTCCCATGATGCTCATAGTCCATAGAAGGAAACAGACAATTTAATTCCAAACTGAGTATAGTGGAAACTGTGGCTGGTTACATTCTCTCTGGCCATCAGGGGAGGAGATCCTGAAAAGGTGATATCTGAGTGGAGGCCTGGAGTATGGGAAAGGTCCAAACACACCCACAGGTAGGGGCATGCAATTGTGCAAGTGCAAAGCCCTGGAGAAAGAAGGAGGTCTCTGAAGCTGGACTTGGTAAGTGAGAAGAACAGAAGAAGATGGGGATGGAGACATAGCCAAGAACCAATCCTCACAGACCTTGGAAAGGGAACCAGGGACACAAACAGACAGGGAACAGCATCTCAAAGGACAGACATGGCAAACACAAAGGCCCTGAGGCAGGATCAGGCATGGTGGATGCAGCTCCATGGAGGAGAGATCAGAAGGTGGGTGGGCCAGGCCAGTCCGGGTTTGTGAACCTTGTAAGCCCCGGGATCTCCTACCAGGCTCATGGGGGCCCTCAGGGAGGGCCCTACACATGGCACGAGCTTATCTGCTCGGCGCAGCACCCACTGGGGAGACAGAGCCCCGGCAGGTGCAGCTCTGCTCTCCATAGCCTCAGCTCAACCCGTCCCCTCCCGCAGGCTTCCTGCCCGCCACGCCCCCGCCCCCGGGCCATGCCGACCGCCTGGGCCACCCCGGGCGCCCCCGAAGCCCCCCCCTGCGCCAACCAGAGCTGCGCTCCCAGTGAGCTGGTCCTGCTGGGCTTCGCGCACGTGCCCGCGCTGCGGCCGCTGCTCGCCACGCTCTTCCTGGCCATGTTCCTGCTCACGCTGCTGGGCAACGCGCTCATCGTGCTGCTGACCGCCCTGGACCCGGCCCTGCGCGCGCCCATGTACCTGTTCCTGCGCCACCTGGCCCTGGTGGAGATGTGCTTCTCGCTGGACATCGTGCCGCGGCTGCTTCTGACCCTGCTGCGGCCCGGGCGGGGCGTGTCTCCCGCCGGCTGCGCCCTGCAGCTGCTGCTGGTGTTGTCCTGCGTCACGTCCGAGTGCTTCCTCCTGACGACCATGGCCTGGGACCGCTACGTGGCCATCTGCAGGCCTCTGCGCTATGGCGCCATCGTGAGCCCGCGGCTCTGCCACCTGCTGGCTGCCACGTGCTGGCTGGCTGGCGTCCCTGTGTCTCTGGTCTTCACCATCTGGCTGTTCCGCTTCCCCTTCTGCGGGCCCCGAGGCATCCGCCACTTCTTCTGTGACATCGCGCCTCTGCTGAGCCTGGTGTGTGCAGACACCAGAGTCTTCGAGGCCCACGTGTTGGCGGCCACGGTGCTGGTTATCATGGTTCCCTTCTGCCTGATAGCCGCGTCCTACACCAAGATTCTGGCCACCGTGCTGCGGATGCCATCCGCCAGGGGGCGCCACAAGGCCCTGTCCACGTGCGCCTCTCACTTCGTCGTGGTGCTTCTGTTTTATGGCACCACGGGGGTCATCCACTTGCGACCCAAGGCCAGCTACTCCCCGGAGAGCAAGCAGGTGGTGTCCTTGTCCTACACCCTGGTAACCCCCATGCTCAACCCCCTCATCTACAGCCTTCGAAACAAGGAGGTGAGGGCTGCCCTGGGACGCGTGTGTTGCCATGGCCAGGAATCTGGACCCCATGAATGACTTCTTCAGGAATTGTTGATGGATGTTTGACACGGATCTATGTGCAGATATATCATACAGTGCTCTGACTTTTTTCTGGAAAACTCTATTGTTTTCCTCTTCCGGTCATGGTGGTGCTGGTTCCACCTTCCTGTCCAAGAAAAGGCTCATGGCAGAGCATTCAATCCCTGATTACTATTATTTGGTAGTGGTGGATAAATGAACCTAATTGGGCCAACTAGAGTGTATTAGTAAGTGCCACAAGAATGCTGCATGGAAAACCATCCTAGAATGTACTGTATTAAAACATGTCACTTATTGCTGTTAATCGTCAGTCAGCTGAGGGTTAGCTAATTTGGGTTGGTGTCATCTGGGTGGTTCTTCTGATCTTGGCTAGGGTTGCTCATGCCCATGAGTGCTCACCATCATAGGCTTGGTTTAGCTAGAAGACCCTCTGGTCCACACATTTCCCATTTTTCTCCTGGGAACAGAGCTCAGGCATGGTTTTTCTCATTACAATAGCTGAATGAGAAGGCTCCCTTGTTCAAATGATTTTCAAAGCTATGGTCATGTGCCACCCAATAAGATACCATTAGTCAATGCAAGTCACATGGCCATATCCAAAGTCATGGGGTAAGGAAATACACTCTGTGTCTTTGTAGGAGGAACTCAAAGATTATAAGACAAACGCTATCGATAAAGGGAGGACTAAGTAGTTAGGGGCTTTAGATCTTAACTTTGGAGAGCCAGACACTGAGATTTTTGTTCAAACTTCTCTTTGTTCATAGCTGTTAAGGATGTAAGCTTGTAGAGGCAATCAGCTATCTGGTCTTTAACAGAGGAGTTCCTGCTTGATAATGGAGTCACTGCAAAGAAAATCAGAACCAATGGTGGTGGGTGGGGGGAAAGATGTGGTTCTGATTTTGTCGAGTTCCTGGATCCAGCCATGCCCAAAGTGTGTCTTGCCCTTAGGAATTCCTCTTAGGTGAACGAATAAATTTGTCTTTTATTTAAGCCAATTTGGGTTGATGTCCTATCCTTCTCAGTGCCCTGATTTACTGATCTCTAATAACTAGCCTGGTACACGAATTACGTTATTTCTTCTCTAAAGCTCAGTAAGAATATTTTTTTGAATATGGGTAAATGCATCAGAGGAGAAGTTTTTTCCCTTCAGATTATGGGCTACCTTTGAAGGGATCTAGTTTTTCTAGAAGACAAACCTGGATCTGAATTGTCTCTCTTTATTTCTTGGTTGTACAAACTAGGATTTGACTTTCCTGAGCCTCAGTCTTCTCATCCGTGAAGTGGGAATAGTAGCCATACTTCCTACACTGAGTTGTTACCATTAAACAAAGAGATGTATGGAAGCATCTAGCACAGTGCTTGGAACACAGTTGGTGCTCAGTTAATGGTCTCCATTCATTATTCACATAGCTATCCTCATAGATTACAAACCCAGAAGCTCCACCCTTGGAAGGTAATGTACTATAGTACTCCCAGGATGCTGGATTTGGTGTTAAGGGACTTGGAGTTGGATGGACTAAAACCCTTCAATGTGGGTTGTTGAACTAGTCTCTCTGAGGCTCAGTTTCACCCTGTATAAACAGGAAAGGGTGTGAGGAATAACCCCTGCCCTGCCACCACTCAGGAATACGGTGGTAATCTAATATGACAAACAGTATAAAATTACAACTACTGCACCAGACTGAATGAGTTTCTGTTCTTTGTCATCAGACCAGTTCTGCCAATGCTTTCATCTTCCCAGGTGTCTTCTCCTTAATTTGGCATCAAACAACAAACAAGTCAGGCACTTCTCGAGGCTCTCAGGACACTGTGGTGAATAATGCAACATAGTCTGTGCCCTCATGACCTTTCAGGAATGCACAGCATTTTTTAAAGATGTGGTTCAGAAACACCTGGGGTGGTCGTTCAGCATGGAGATGTCAAACCCAGGCTGGGCCCCACCCCAATCTATCAAATCAGAAACTTTGTGCTCACAGTCCAGGAATATGTATTCATGAAAACATAAGTCCTGGGTGATTCCAATAGAAGGATATGGATCTACTAGTTTAGCAGATCCCTTGTTAGAAGGGAGAGGGCAAAGAAGGCCAACACATCAACCCCAATGCAAATACTAAAGGGAAAGTGGTCTACAATCTAACCAAACTCTTTTTCCTACTTTGAAACTCTGAGTCTTCACCACTGAAATCTGCTTGACCTACTTCTTTGGACAATTGTGACCAAGACTAGGAACTTCAGTACTACTATCCTTTGAAATATAGAAGTGGTCATGTTGTGCCCAAGATTGCGAATCCGGGAAACCACCAAGGAGCCGACACCGATGCAAACACACGAGGGTTTATTTACAAGCTCGAGCTTGGGTCCAAGTATACCCGACACAGCGGAGCAGGGACTTGGACCCCGAGGTGGGTTTCAGCTTAGTTTTAAGGGCTGGTCTAGGGGACCTCCAGAAGGGGTGGAGGAATTTCTCAAGTTCTGTTTACATTCTGATATGGGGCCTTCCAGGGCACTGGGCTCTGTTCTCATTCTAATATGGGGCTTCTTGCCCTTGGCTTGGGCTCTGTTCTTATTCTAATATGAGGCTTTCTAGGGCGTTAAGCTGTAAGCTGTTTTCTTCCTGGAACTGAGGTAATGTAAATTTCAGCTCTTATTCACAGGGGCCTGGGATGGCTGTACTTGTGCTAACGCTGAACTTAAAGTGGAATGGCCTTAAAATTTTCTCGGCCTCCACAGTCATTGAACCATCAACCCCATACCCAGTGCAGTTGTGGAGAGGAAGAGGTAAGAGGCTGAGCCTCCTGGCATCCGATAAGCCACCACTTTCCTCAGCCATAGGGCATCTCTCATGAGATCCGTTGATTCTCCTGCTGTGTACTCATTCCCCCTTCCTGATAACTGTATGTGGATTTGTCTTTGGGAAACTATATGGACCATATTCCCTACAGTCTTTTGTCTTTGGCAGTTTGATCAAAGTACTTCCCTCAAAAACAACAACAACAACAACAAAGACCCAAAGTGCTTCCCTCTGCCCTCACCGTATACAGGGTGTTGATTTGGTATCCCTAAACTAAACCATTCCAGCACTTTCTCCCTGGAATTGGATTACTGAGTGAAACAAGCACAGAATATGGAACTGACTTTTCTCTATGGTGGCCTAGTACTTCTTATCTGGTTTGCCAAAACTCTCCTGGTCCATGATCCTGGCAAAATATGGTTCTTCATCAACCCTGCAGTATCCAACCACTTTCTTGGCTTAAGTGATCCCGTTAGCTTCTTTTTTTAGCAACCAAAGGACTTAAAATGATACAGCTCGGGCTGTTTCCCTGCCTGACACTGCAGTTCTGTGTTTGGCCTGGACCCAGTGGTTGCCAAAGTCACTTTAAAAAGCTCTTTTCAAGGGATGCCTGGGTGGCTCAGTGGTGAGCATCTGTCTTCTGCTCAGGTTATGACCCTGGGGTCCTAGGATCGAGTCCCGCATCGAGCTCCCCAAAGGGAGCTTGCTTCTCCCTCTGCCTATGTCTCTCATGAATAAATTTTTAAAAATCTTTAAAACACTCTTCTCAAGGATGTGGAGAAAGGGGAAACCTCTTGCACTGTTGGTGGGGAATGTGAACTGGTGCAGCCACTCTGGAAAACTGTGTGGAAGTTCCTCAAAGAGTTAAAAATAGAGCTACCCTATGACCCAGCAATTGCACTGCTGGGGATTAACCCCAAAGATACAGATGCACTGAAATGCCGGAGCACCTGCACCCCGATGTTTATAGCAGCAATGTCCACAATAGGCACACTGTGGAAGAAGCCTCGGTGTCCATTGAAAGATGAATCGATAAAGAAGATGTGGTCTATGTATACAATGGAATATTACTCAGCCATTGGAAACGACAAATACTCACCATTTGTTTCAATGTGGATAGAACTGGAGGGTATTATGTGAGTGAAATAAGTCAATCGGAGAAGGACAAACATTATATGGTCTCATTCATTTGGGGAATATAAAAAAATAGTGAAAGGGAATAAAGGGGAAAGGAGAGAAAATGAGTGGGAAATATCAGAGAGGGTGACAGAACATGAGAGACTCCTAAATCTGGGAAACGAACAAGAGGTAGTAGAAGGGGAGGTGGGTGGGATGATGGAGTGACTGGGTGAAGGGCACTGAGGGGGGCACTTGACGGGATGAGCACTGAGTGTTACATTGTATGTAGGCAAATCGAACTCCAATAAAAAAATAGACAAACCCCCCCCCCACTCTTCTCAAGATGTTCTTGGGTTTTTTTGTCCTTCTCACCAATGTTTCATGTTCTTCCTGAAACATGACCCAGGGGCAATTGCATAGTTGAGTTGATTGGGCATCTGCCTTCAGCTCAGGTCATGATCTCAGGGTCTTGGGATCGAGCCCCACATTGGGCTTCCTGCTCAGCGGGGAGTCTGCTTCTCCCTCTCCCACTGCCCCTCTGCTCATGCTCTTTCTTTCTCTCAAATAAATAAATAAAATCTTAAAGAAAGAAAACATGACGCAATTGGTACTGGATTTAAGAGCCTCATGGCCTCATACACCCTGACTTTTGAGTTCTAGTCTCCAACTAAGACCCTCCAACAACCAAAGAGCACAAAAAACTTTTGGGACACTTGGTTCCAGGCCACCATTCTCCCAGATCCCTCCTCTTACCTCCTGTTTCCTCCATCCCTGGATGTATCATGAGAAAGCCTTCTGAAGTCAAGAATGAGACCCAGAACTTTCTAGGACGTGGAAAGCAGACCTCTAATTTTCTCCTACCCCGTCCCCATCATCAAACATCCCTGGAGTATGCACTGAGTTAAGACCTGTGCTTGCCTCTGTGGACACAGAAAGAAAAGGCAAATTTCTTCTTTTGAAATAACTCCTTGAGGACACATAAGATAAAAAGTTATAATTTAGTGTGAAGGACGTTGAAGTAGCAATGCACTAAGTCATTATTTTGAGCATTGGGATGGAGATGAACTAGTATGTATTGAATATCTACTAAGTGTCAATCACCACACTGGACATGTGACGCATATTTGCTAATATAATTTTCCAAAAGATGTTTTGGTTTAATACCTGTCTCATGGTATGAGCACTGGATGTTATTCTATATGTTGGCAAATTGAACACCAATAAGAAATAAATTTATAAAAAATAAAAAATAAAAAAATACCTGTCTCATGGCAATAACAAGAATATTGCTTCCAAATGTGGGGTATTTAATTTGCACTGAGCTCGGAGACTTATATGCATTAAATAATTTTATCCTCTCAATGACCCTGGGAAGAAGGAAGGGTTATCTTATAGGGAGATTCAGAATGGGAGTAAATCATGAAAATCCTGCAGCTATGAGATTTGAGTCAAGAACTAAATATCATCTGTCAGGCTTCAACTCTACAGAACATTTCCACAACCTCATTTGGAGGGTGTTTAACCAACACTGACCCATCACCCACGTGGTCCCAGAAGTGATTACATCACACCATCCTGTTTTATCAGAGAAGGGAACTAATTCTATGTGGCTAGAGACGAGAGAAGGTTAATATTTTTCAAAGACTGAAGTTTCATGTGAAATTTAAAGGGTTGAATTGAATTTCATTGTGAGAAAAGGTAATCTCTTGTCAGAAAGAATAGTTTGGGCAAAGTTCCTCAGGAGTCAATGTACTTTGGATCTCTGGATGTTTGTGTGAGCAAGGATAAAGGTGTGGAAAGAGTCACACAAATATCTTAAGGGCGGGTATAAAGGTTATAGTGATTCTAATTGTGGAAAGATGTATATAACATAAAATTTGCCCTTGTTAACCATCTTTAGGTGTATAGTTCTCTGGCATTAAGCACATTCACTCTCTTGTGCAACCATCACTGCAACCCATCTCCAGAACACTTCATCTGGGAAAATGGGAGCTCTGTAGCCATTGTACACTAACTCCCCATTTCTCTCTCCTCTGGCCCCTGGAATCCACCATTCTACTCTCTTTTTCTAGGAATTTGACTCCTCTAGGCACCTCATATAAGTGACATCACACAATATCTGTCCTTTTGTGACTGGCTTATTTCACTTAGCATAGTCTTCAAGATTCATCTGTGTAGTAGCAGCATGTGTCAGAATTTCCTTCCTTTTTATGGATAGTTGAATTCCATTCTCTGTATATATTACATTTTGCTTATCATTGCCTCCATCCATGTACACTTGGATTGTTTCCATCTTTTGGCTTTTGTGAGTATGCTGCTATGAACACAGAGATGCAGATACCCATTCCTGCCATTACTTTCAATGGGCAGCATTGTCTTAGCCTCCAATTTCTACTGGAGAGTCTTCTCCTGTAGTCCTCAGATGCATTAGCTCTTCTCAGAACAAGTTATGAACATGTGTTTCCATAACCAAACTTATCAACCAAAGGCAGGAACAATTTACCACTTATCTTTATACCCCAGGACCAAAACACAAGACAAGGCATTTGGGAAGGAATCAGCCTGAACTGAGAGTGGCTCCGAGGCTCCTCCTCCCCTTAAGCCTCCACAGAGTGTCAGTAGAAGTGTTTTTCTTCTTCTTCTTTTTAAAGATTTTATTCATCCATTCATGAAAGACACACACACACACACACACAGAGAGAGAGAGAGAGAGAAAGAGAGAGAGAGAGAGAGGCAGAGACACAGGCAGAGGGAGAAGCAGGCTCCATGCAGGGAGCCTTACGTGGGACTCAACCCCGGGTCTCCAGGATCATGCCCTGGGCCAAAGGCAGGCGTCAAACCGCTGAGCCACCCGGGCTGCCCAGAAGTGTTTTTCCCATCAACTATTCTCCAAGTCTGCAGAGACCAGGGGAGGTCTCTGAGGTCCAGAGCTCCAATTTAAGCTGGCATCCCTGCTTCCTTTTCACCATGAGGAGAGTCAACTCAGCCACTTAGAGCATTCAGAACTACGAAGAAGGTGAAACAAGGGTGGGGAAGTGGATGCCTCATTCAGGACCAGCAACAGCTTTCCAATGCAGACTGAAAAGTGACTCTACTCTTCAACATCTCCTCCTCCAGGTAGGAGCTGAATGCACCTGAGCATCTGAGCCTCTTCCAGGGGCAGCATCAGCAAGAACGGATCTGAAGCTGCTGTCCTTTGACCATCATATGGGGAGACCAAATGTTATTCTTTGGCGGTGAGGACAAGGAACAGCAGAAAGAAACTTTCTTTTATAGAATATCCAAAGTATACCAGGTACTGACTTTGAATGCTTTAGAAAAGTATTCAGTTACTTTTAACTGATGTAACCCCCAATTAGTACTTATCCATAATCGTGCATTAATTTATGAGGCAGATTTAAACAGATTGAGTGACTTTCTTGCTTGGAAGTTCTTGAACACTTTGAGGCTAATACCAGGTTGGTTCATGCCCATATAGCCATCACTTTTGGTGTAATGCTTCTTTGCACAAAGCCCCTTACTTAATAAATAACTATCGTTAAACACTTTACCAGCCAAGGGGCTGTCTTCTCATGAGAGGAATTCTGAGTTTCATTTAGAACAACAGATTGAAACCCACTTCTGTATAACTTTGAGCTCAAGCTTCAGCCACAACATTATGTTGTCTCTCTTTTGACAGTGAGGAAATGAAATAGCTCAGGAGGGAGATGGTTATCTATATTTTTAAGTAACACACAACAGAAATTAAGTAGAACGCTCAAGGAGCCAGATAGAGAAAGCTCCATGGCCCAGATTGCTGTGGGGACCAGGAATGTTCTCTTACTGACCACCATATCTCCTTCGAACCTAGCACACACAGTCTTAGCAAAGAATTCCTGGATAACAACTATTTTTGAGATGGTATATCTAGATATTTTTGAATATCTAGTTTTGGGATTTGGGATGCTAATGTGCCTTCAGGGGTGCACTCACTGGTTTTGCTGCAGGTTATCCAGGGATCTCTTGGTTCATCTGAAGTCCTAAGTTAGGAAAGGCAACTCAGAAAAGGATCTTTGGAGGAGGTATGTATTGAGTGGATACGGATAAGAGGATAATGAAGAACAGACGCAGAGCCAAAGAGAGGGGGAGCAAGAAATCTCAGTTGGGGGGAAGGACTGGGATGGAATGGGAAATGAAAGGTGAGTGGACTCCAATCCAGGGAGTGTTTACTGGGGTGCAAGTTCTGCTTGACAGCTCTAAAGCGAGTCCGTGCAGTCACACCCCTGATCCTTGGCTGCCCACCTACATTCGTGCAGTAATATACACAACACATGTATGTCCTCAGGGCGAAATTATCCTATGATCCTCATGCCTTTGCACAGAACCTTAGGATCTACAAATCCGGCCTCTGATGCTCTGAGTCTTACAGGTCTCTGCTAACATAATTTGAGAGACTCTCAGGTTACCTTTCATCCCTAACGTTGCTGTGTGCAGGGTAAACATCTTTCTTATGAACATTTGGCAGATACTGACCTCTGTCATTAGTTTATCCTCAATTACTTCTGCTTATGTAGCCGTGAACTGCTATCTAAGGGCCCCCTGTAACTTGGAATTGTTTTTGGTGGTGGTGGTGATGGTGGTGGTTTGTGTGTTCATCGACTCTTTCTCATAGGAAGTCAGTGGCCATAGACCCGGACTATCTTCTTTACCCATGCATTCCCAATAGCTAGCATACAAAGGGAGGTTCAATGAATGCCATTGAATGAATTCTGTGAATGATAGATAGCCTTATAGTCAGAAGAATTCTCCAGCTGGATCACTTGTCGGCTCTTTACTTCCCATGTCCCAGGTGCAGACTTTTCAGGCTTGACTGTAAAGATGAAATGGAATGGGACTAGACAGCATAAACGTCTGCCCAGCTGTGTTACCTTCTTTGTGTTATGTCCTGGCAGTGTGGTCTTGGGCAAGTGAATGTATCTGTTTGGGTTCCATACCTGTCTTATGGCATAAAACCAATGTATCTAAGTAGGATTGATGGCAAGTAAATAATGCATACAAGGCACTCAATGAGTTGTGGAAGTATCAATTATGAGATCATATATCCTCTTGTGTCTTAACAATTTGTTTTCCTGTCAGCTTCGATTTTCTGAAATGTATCAGTGTGAAAATAACACCTATGTGTATTTGCAGTCCCTCACATTGATACAATGAGTGTTATTTGCGACCTTCTGCTGAAAGACATGTCAGTCTTTTGGGGGATTCCTCCCTCTTTGCTCTTCTTGAACACCATCATTGGTGACCTACAGCCTAATACAATTATCAAAATAAATTTGCATTGAGAAGAGGAACATTTTCAAACAAGGGAGCTGGCAGTCTTGCTCTACTCCAGATTTTTAAAAATACTCCCAAATTCCTATGCAAAGTATACAAAGAGGGGAAAAAAGAACTTTTTTTGGAACAGAAATAACAATCCTAATTTCTTATTTGCTATACCAATTCTCATCTACTGCCTTATTTATTGTAACAACCTCATCGGAGGCCGGTGATTTTCTCCCAATTTTCAGGCAGTCTGATTATATAAAGATTCAGACTTAGTAAGACCAATCAGAGTAATGACGGTGATCTCATGCTCAGAGTTTGTCTATTCTCCAAAGTCTATTCAGCGTTTGTCTGTAAAAGTCAATTTCCAACAGAAGCTGGGCTAGCCCAGTCCTAGGGTTTCACTCACTGTGAACATACTCCCTATTTTTTTTCTAACTAAGCGTCTTTGAAGAGACCAGAATGTCAATACACTTTATTTGTCTCTCTGCAGATGGAGAGTTCTCTGGAGTTGGGCAACATGACCAGAGTCCAGGAGTTTGTCTTGCTGGGTTTGTCCACCAGGCCGGGCATAAGGAATGCCCTGTTTGCTGTCTTCCTGACCCTCTACCTGCTGACCCTCCTGGAAAACACCCTCATTATCTACCTCATCTGCAGTCACAGCGAGCTCCACAAGCCCATGTACTTCTTCTTGGGTAACCTGAGCTGCCTAGAGATGTGCTATGTGTCAGTGACCATGCCCAGCCTGCTCCTGGGGCTTTGGACTGGACCCTGCCATGTACCCTTCACAGCCTGCATGACCCAGCTATTCTTCTTTATAGTCCTCATCTGCACGGAGTGCACCCTCCTGGCCTCCATGGCCTATGACCGCTACGTGGCCATCTGCCGCCCACTCCACTACCCACTGCTCATGAGGCCCCAGGTCTGCCTGGGCTTGGCCTTGTCTTCATGGATTGGGGGGCTGCTGGTCTCAGTGGTCAAGACATCTTGCATTGCCAGCCTGTCCTACTGTGGCCCCAATGTCCTCAACCAATTTTTCTGTGATGTCTCCCCTCTGCTCAACCTGTCTTGCACCCACGTGGCCCTGACGGAGCTGGTCGACTTCATCTCTGCCATTGTCATCTTCTGTGGAACACTGTTGGTAGCATTAGCCTCCTACTCAGCAATCGTGGTGGCCGTGCTCCTCATGCCATCAGCCGCTGCCCGACGCAAGGCCTTTTCCACCTGTGCCTCCCACCTGATTGTGGTGGGCATCTTCTACTCAGCAGCCCTCTTCATCTACTGCCGTCCCAGCCGTATCAAATCCATGGACCTCAACAAGGTGCTGTCAGTCATCTACACGGTAGTCACGCCCATGTGCAACCCCATCATCTACTGCCTGAGGAACAAAGAGGTCCATGTGGTGCTTCGGAAAACTCTCCACTGGCCTTGAACATGGTCTTGAATAATTGGACCTCTCATCTCCTGATTGAAAAACTTCTATGGCCACAGAATTCCAAACATAATACTGAAAGGCCAAAGAGAAATTGCAGGAATATGTTTCCCATCTCACAAACAATGAGTTAATTTCAATCAGTAACAAAATCTGAATTACCCGTGGAAGAAGTGAACAATGTCTATGAGAAAGCAAGTCATCGATGATGAATGATGAGTGACTGGTAACTCACATGACAAGATGGTCAACTTTATTAGTAAACCTCGAAATCCAAATTTAACAACCCCATCATTTTATTCTTAGAATGACAAATACTTAACAAATGTTTCTATATGGTTCCCACAAGTAGGGATAGATGATATATAGGAAGATAGTCACAGCATCTTTGTATTGAAAAAAAATCAGAAACAACCTAATATCCACCAAGTAGATGGATTAGGTACATTTTATTCATTCTGAGGTAAACATTGGGGTGACTAAATAAAAGGAAATAGATTTATGTCTTTGACATGGCAATATGGCATATATATAATTAAGATAGGGCTTTTATCTCAATCTTTTCCCCATTCGTTTGTACTAGCTATTACCCATCTATACTATTTTTTAAGGTTTTAATTAATTAATTAATTAATTAGAGAGAGGGAGAAGGCACATGTGTGCATGAGCATGCAGAGGGACAGAGGGAAAGAGAGAGAATCTCGAACAGACTCTGTGCTGATCATGGAACTGAGCCTCGGGACCTTGAGATCATGACCTGAGTGGAAATCAAGAGTTGGGTACTTAACCAACTGAGCCACCCAGACACCTGCCCTACCTATATTCATTTTTTAAAAGATTTTATTTATTTGATAGAGAAATAGTAAGAGAGAGCATGAGCAGTGGGTAGGTGGAGAGGAAGAAGTAGACTCCCCATTCAGCAGGAAGCCCAATGCAGGGCTCGATCCCAGGCTCCTGGGATCATGATCTGAGCTGAAGGCCGATGCTTGACCGACTGAGCCACCCAGGCACCCCAATAGTGCCTTTTCGTAAATAGAAGCTTCCAATTTTGGTGAAATCTAAATTATCAGTACTTAAATTTATACCTCTTACTTTTTTAAAGAAGATTTTATTTATCTATTCATAAGAGACAGAGGGAGGGAGAGACAGAGAGAGAGAGAGAGAGAGAGAGAGAGAGAGAGGCAGAGACACAGGCAGAGACAGAAAGAGGCTCCATGCAGGAAGCCTGACGCGGGACTTGATCCCGGGTTTCCAGGATCACACCCTGGGCTGAAGGCGGCGCTAAACCTCTGAGACGTCTGGGCTGCCCTATAGTTATTACTTTTGACAGCTTAATAAAATTTACCTATTTCCCTGTCACATAAAACCATTTCCTACATGGTTTATAAATTTAGCTTTCTAATTTGTGTGTATAATGCCACTCAAAAAATGTGTGTGTGCATGTGTGAGGTGTAAGTTGAACTTTACTTTTTCCGCACATAATCCAGTTTTACGAAAATGGTTGTTGGAGAGACTCTCCCATTAAACTGCATTGCATCTTTGTCAAAAATCAGATTGAGTAGGGACGCCTGGGTGGCTCAGTGGTTGAACGTCTGCCTGTGGTTCAGGTCGTGATCCCGGGGTCCTGGGATCGAGTCCTGCATCGGGCTTCTTGCAGGGAGCCTGCTCCTCCCTCTTCTTGTGCCTCTGCCGCTGTCCGCGTCTCTCATGCATAAATAAATAAATAAAATCTTTTTTTAAAAATCAGATTGAGTATAAGAATGTGGCTCTATTTCAAGACTCTGTTTTACTCTCTATCAATCTATTTTTCTGTTAGCTCACCAATATGAGCTTGTCTGGATTACTGGGATGTAATTGTATGAATTAACATCAGGAATTCTAAGTCCTCCCATTTTGTTCTTTTGCAAGATAGCGGTGGCTTTTCTAGGCTCTTTACCTTACCATATAAATTTTAGATTCAGCTATGCATTTTTATAAAAATTACCTTTGAGATTATAATTATGATTGCACTGAATCTAGAGATAATTTTGGGGGGGAATTGATATTTTCCACAATGCTGAGTCTTTCAAATCATAAATATAGTATACTTTTCCCTTTATTTGGCACTTAAAATCTTTCGGGGTGTAGCTGACCCATGTTACACTAGTTTCAGGTGCATAACACAGTGAATCCACAAATTCAAACATTTTGCTGTGCTCACCACAAGTGTAGCTGCCATCTGTCACTATGCAACATATTCCAATACCACTGGCCATATTCCTTGTGCTGTACCTTTCATCCCCATGACTTATCCATCCATAACTGGAAGCCTGCGCCCTTCACCAATTTACCCCACCCCCCACCACCTCCCCTCTGGTAACCATCCATTTGTTCTCTGTGTTTGCAAGTCTGATTCTGCTTTTTGTTTGTTTATTTATTCCTTTTCATTTTTTTAGAATCCTCACAGGGGTGAAATCGAGTGGTATTTTGTCTTCCTCTGTCTGACTCATTTCACTTAGCATAATCCCCTCCAGGTCCATCTATGTTGCCTCAAATAACATGATCTCATCTTCTTTTTCTTTTAATGTCTGCATAATATTCGAGTGAGCATGTATGTGTGCACACCCAGGTGTGTATACTTACACACCACACCTATTCTTATCCATTCACATATGGATGGACTCTTAGACTGCTCCAGTAGTTAGCACTTTAATCTTTAACCTTCCTGTCAGCAGTGTTTCAGACCATTTACTGTGGAGGGCATGTGTATCGTTTGTTAAATTTATTTCCATGTATTTAGTGTTTTCAATACTTTTGTATGTTTAATTGTAAATTTTACTTTCCAATTGCCACATGTAGTATTCAGAAACAAAATCGGTTTCTGTGCATTTGTCCTATATCCTACAATCTTCACAATCTCATATATTAGCTACAAAACCTTTGCACATTCCATAGGATTTTCAGTATAAATACTCATGCTATCTGCAAATAACAATAATTTTTCTTCTTTTCTTTTTCCAACCTGTGTCCCTTTTATTTCTCTCTTCCAGCATCATGTGTATTTTATTCACTCAGTCCTATGAGCTGCAGATCCATGAGTGCTGAGTGGGTTCCTGTGGGTCTTCTGCTGGTCCTGTTGAAACAAACACTGGGCATAGACTGGACATGGTGTACTCTCCAGTTGCCTTCTGTAGAGCTCATCAAAGCCTGTAACAGTGGCTGGAGTAAGGGGTGAGTCTAAGAGGATCGTAAAGGACAGCACAATGCAATCTGCTGCTGTTACAGACGCCCCAAATCTCTGCACCTCAACATGCTGAGATTTATTTCTCGCCAGCGCCTTAATTTGGTGCAGCTTGCCAAGGGGTGCTCTCCTTCCTGCAGTTGCCCAGGGACCTAGGGTCTTTCCTGATAACACCTGTTATCCTCCAGAGCCTTGGGACTCACCACTTAAAATTTTATTTGTAGACAAGCAGGGAAAGACAGAAGGAGAGGAAGTGAGAACCATCATCCAAGGTTTGAAGGGCCAGGTCTGGCATTTATATGCATCACTCCTGTCCACACGTCAGGATTTAGTCAGATGGTCATACCAAGATTTAGCCACATGGTCATACCAGGGTGCAAAGGATGCTGGGAGATGTAGTTTAGCAGCATGCTCCTGATTCAGCCGCATCACTGATAAGCACACAAATATGCATGGTAACTGTAGTGTCACTTTTCAGCTATGGGCTCTAAAACAAGGAGACAATTTAAGCAAATGAGTATAATTAAAGGGGTATAAAACAAGCATTCTCAGATATCTTTGATGGGAATGTAAATCCATGCAATATTTTTAGATGGTAGTTTTGTAATATGTATAAACATTTTAAATGTATGTTGACCAATAATTCTACTTCCTTATATGTGTCGTATGGATATATTTCTATACATGGGCAAAAATAAGCATGCCAGTATATCTATGGAAGCAATGTTTGCACTAGCAAAAACTGGACAACTATAAAAATATCCATCAATAAAGGGCTTATAAATCACATTATGGTCCATTACAGGCCAATCCCATCCCAGACTTTTCTTCCTTCCTCTACCACTTCCCTCTTACCAGTTATCCTTACATAGTCCACGATCAAGTATTCCAAAGTTAAAACAATTTTCATTAAAGAAAACCTTTGTCCAGGTCAGAGTCCAGGTATTAATTAGGCTTTTCCTCACAAAATCAACGAACATTTCATTGTGAAGAATACAGACATAAATGACAGAGTACCGTCCCTGAATGAGGTCCCAGTTTAGTGGTGCAAGAAAAAAGTAAAGAGGGACTCATAATAAAGTTAATAAGAACTATATTAGTGTCAGAGCTAAGCCGTTTTTACTCTCAAGGGAAAGAATTGACATTCACTGATTGCTGTGTCCACTACTATGCTAGATCTGTACACATCTCTGTTAATTTATATTTACATCAGCTCCGAGAAGTGTATTTGATCTCCATTTCACAGGTTTCAATAATAGCGATCAATAGCTACCACTTACTGAGCTCCTAGTAAGTACCGGGGATTGGAGTAAGTGCTTTACATGCATTGATTAGCATGTAGTCTTCGTGAGAACTCGTGTGGGTGAGTATGATCGTCACCATTTTGCCTATGGGCAATCCGTAGCCTAGAGACGAAAAGACGTGTTTTATGCATAGGATGCTTAATGTTAAATGCTAAATCAGAGGGGGGGGGCAATATGGCGGAGGAGTAGGGCCCCCAAGTCACCTGTCCCCACCAACTTACCTAGAAAACTTTCAAATCATCCTGAAAACCTACGAATTCGACGTGAGATCTAAAAAGAGAACAGCTGGAACGCTACAGAGAGAAGAGTTTGCGCTTCTAACAAGGTAGGAAGATGGAAAAATAAATAAATAAAAAAGAATCAAGTGGGGGAGGGGCCCCGCGAGGAGCCGGGCTAAGGCCCCGCGGCAAAAGCCCCCTGGGACAGGAAAGCCCGTCCCGGAGAAGCAGGAACTTTAAAAATCCACACCGGATTCT